GAGTAGTTCTAGATAAGAGTGTTTGGAGGGCCTGAGCTATCTGATCCATACAGTGATCCTGCTCTGCAAATCTAGCCTCATGAGAAGCCAATTGCTGACTTAAATCTGTGGGGTCCATGGCCCTATCGTAATGTCACAGTGGTTTACCTCAACACTCAAGATTTAGTCCAACAATCGACAGATAGAGCAGATACTTCTTACCGGACCTTAGAATGGCCGGACTCGCCGTATAGCAGAGAATAGACAGAGTCAAGAACGAGCCGAGGTCAAGGGAACAAAGAGACTGAGAGAACAAAAACTAGCCAAGATCTGGTACACAGTAGTCAGTAAGCCGGCAAACAAGACAAAACAGGGATAGAGAGATAAACGGAGTCAGATACAAAGCCAAGGTCAAGCACGAAAATCACAACTGAACACAACAAGCACTAAAGGGAACTGAAACAGAAACCACGATAGGGCAGGGAGTTAAGGGAGAGGTAAGTATAAATACCCTAACCTTTACTTTGATTGGCCCCTGTCATATCCACGCCCCCAAAATGTGAGTGTATGGGGAATATGGGATGACAGGGGCCAATGGGAGACCGTTGTATTTTTTGGCTCCCACTGCCCCTTTAAGAGCATGCCCGAGATGCGCGGCACGCTCTTAGAGCTAGGTAGGACACGTGACCGTCCGCGGCGGGAAGAGAGGACCTCAGACGGCCCCCGGGTAAGGTAAATACCGCTACAACTACATAGACAATAATATACCGAAATGTGCGGATTGTTCCCGATTGGATTGCTATTACTTTGTGGAACATTTCGCCAAATGGTTCACGGAATATCGTCGTTCTTGTGGCAAAATTGGTCCCATAGGAATGAATGGCAAAACTAGAGTGGGAGCTGGCAAAAGCTGAAAAATCAGGACATGATTTCTAAACTGCCACCACTCCCTCATTTTCAAGCCCACCTGCACAAATCTTATATCAAAACGTTCAGCTATCCCTGCTGCCACTAGAAATGTCCACAGCTAAGCCATAGTCCTGATAGTTTTCACAATATGACTATTTGTTTGCAACTCACGCCGTCCATTGACATTCATTGAAACTCCACTCTAGCCAGCTCAAATTTGAAGGAAAATTTCTAAACTGCGACTCTGCCTTCATTGTTTATATTTCAGAGACATACTATACATCAAAATGTAGGTCTGGGTCTTGTGATTCTCACAATATAAAGCTCTTTGCTGTAGGATTTATAGTTTTTGAAATACGACCGTTTGAAAATGGCAACCGCCAAAATACTCTGACCTGTGCCAGACTGGAGCAGCAAGTAATGTCATAGACAGGGCCTTTTGTACACCTGCTAATGTTTTTATAAATGTATGTTTTAATGCAACTGTGAAGCACTTTGGGCAACAACGTTGCAATTAAATGTGCTATATAAATAAATAATAACTCCTTAAAGACCTGCCTGTTTTTGCGATGTTGTACGTTAAGGACCAGAGCAGTTTTGACATTTTTGTGGTGTTTGTGTTTAGCTGTAATTTTCCTCTCTCTCATTTACGGTTCCCATACAAGTTATATATTGTTTTTTTCAGGACAGGAGGGCTTTCTTTACATACCATTATTTGTATCATGTCATATATTTTATTTTTAAAAAAATAATAAAATATCGTGAAAAACTGAAAAAAAAAACATGTTTTTGGACTTTTACTTAAAAAATCTTTTACTTATCTACAAAAGCTAATGAAAAAAAATGCTAAATAGATTCAAAATTTTGTTCCGAGTTTAAAAACAATGTTTACATGCTTTATTGCTTTTTTTGCAAGTTATAGGCCCATAAATACAAATAGGAAATTGCTGTTTCAATATATATATTTTAAATTTTTCAATAGTGACATTGTAACACCGTTATCTGTCAAAAATCCCTGAATCACACCTAGACAACCCAGGGTATTCAAAATGGGGTATGCCCAGTCTTTTTTTTTAGTAGCCACCTAGTCACAAACACTGGCCAAAGTTAGCACTTATATTTGATTGTGTGTTAAAAATGCAAGAAACGTTAACTTTGGCCAGTGTTTGTGACTAAGTGGCTACTAAAAAAGGCTGAACATACCCCATTTTCAATACCTTGGGTTGTCTTCTTTTGCAAATGGTATGCCATCATGTGGCTAATTCTCATTCCTGGGCTACTATGCTCTCTCAAAGGCATCCTAACCAATCTGACAAATTTCAATAAAAAAAAAAAGTAAAATCAAGCCTTATATTTGACCCTGTAACTTTCAAAAACACTCTAAAACCTCTACATGTGGGGTACTGTTATACTCAGGAGACTTCGCTGAACACAAATATTAGTGTATCGGAACAGTAAAATGTATCACAACAACAATATCATCAGTGAAAGTGCCATTTGAGTGTGAAAAATGCAAAAACCGTCACTTTCACTGACAATATCATCGCTGTGATATGTTTTACTGTTTTGAAACACTAATATTTGTGTTCAGCGAAGTCTCCCGAGTAAAACAGTTCCCCCTATGTACAGGTTTTAGGGTGTCATAGAAAGTTACAGGGTTAAACACAGTGCTAGCAAATTAAATTCTCTGGACTTTCGGCCTGGGTTGGTAGGCAGGTCCCTCAAATTGCATTTATTAAAATGACTTAATTAGGTAAAAATATTACATAAATATGCACATAGAATTTTAATATATATACATAATTATATATTTGACGTCTATGTGTATATTTATGAAATTATTTATGTAATTATGTATATGGACATATGTATATTTCGTATTATTTTTATTTATTTATTTATACATAGCTATATATATCATTACATTCTAAGTGTATTTTGATATAAATATATATATATTAATATCAAAATACTGTTAGAATAAAATTACATATATATTTTTTTTTTAATTATTAAAAATTATTTTTACTTTTTGTTCTTTATTTTTATTAACATATTTATAATTTATAATAATATATATATACAATATATATACAATATATATATATATATATAGTTATAATATATATTGTATATATACGTGTGTAATTTAATTTAAAAGTGTATTTTTATATTAATATACGTATATATAAATATAAAAATACACTTAGTATGACATTATATTTATGATATATATATACATATATTATATATAGATATAATACATGTATATATATCATACATATATTTATATATATTTTTTACACTGATTGCTTTATTTTTAAACTTTTTTTCAGATTTTCCACTTGCAGGGAGACTGCCTATCAGCACAGACATTCCCTTTACAGGCAGATACACAGACACCTATTGCGGTCATGTGATCGAGTGATCACGTGGCCGCGGGGTCCTGATCTGCCGAGGGGAGACTGCCCGGGCAGACAGGCAGTCCCCCTGGACCAGGAGGAGCGCTGATCGCCTCCGGGGGATCGACCACGATCAGGTAAGTAGCCCCAGACCATTATGACGGTTCAGGACTGTCATCGGTTCCCAAGGGGATTTTTCCGATGACGGTCCTGAACCGTCATCGGTCATCAAGGGGATAACAGCTCCTCCACCCACTCCAGTTGTAGACTACTGGTGGAGGCAAGAACACTTCACACAATTTCCGCAGAAATTGTAGCTTTTCTAGTTACATAATATTCTAGTTTTGAAAAACAGACTCAAGTCCATCACGCTCAACCTTTAAAACTCATTAATTTATACTTTATGCTGTTAATCCAAAAGAAGGCAAAACAACATTTGTAGCTATTTCCAATTATTTCCAAGGGTAAAAAAATCCTTTTGAATCCATCGTGACATTCAGATTTCTCATTAGATCAATAACCTGTTCACATGCATATTATTATATCGTGAATATTTTGTTTTTGCAGAAAAACACCCGTGTCTTTTTTTTTAAAATATATATAGAATCTGATAAGGCAATCTCTTTGGGTAGAGAATTCCACATCTTTATTCTTCTAACTTAAAGAATCTTGTAAGCGAAAATGCGAAAATGGATGACCTCTGGTTTGCTGTATTTTCCTGCTAATGAACAGGTTAGTACATAACACTTTGCACTGACCCTGTATATATTTGTATCATGCTATCATTTCCCTTCTGAGACAACTTTTTTCTAAAGAAAATAAAAGCATTTTTTTTGGCCTTTCTTTGTAACTAATATTATACGATAATGCTTTTTCCTTATTATCTCTGTAGCTCGCTCTGCGCTTTTTCTAGTTTTGCAATATCCTTTATTAAAATTGATTCTCAAAATCATACTGATTATTCAAGGTGAGTCTTAATTTGATTTATGAAGAGACAGAATTACATTTGGGTCACGTGAATCAAAACTCCTTTTTATACATGAAAGCACCTTACTAGCTTTTGATGTTATCCCATTCTCAACCCTATTAAATAAGCTTGTGGGTTCCTTATTTCAAAATGCATTAGTTTGCATTTATCTGTTTTGAATCGCATCTGTCGCTTGCTCAGTCCCCCGATTTTTCCAAATTCCTCTGTAGAGAAGTTATATCAAGTTCAGCATTAACTTACCTTGTTTTCAGTTATCTGCAAACACTGACACGTGACTTTCAATGCCCACTTCAAAAGAGTTGGCCAAATGTCAAATGAGAAAAGTAAAACCTAATTAATTTGTGGTAATTGTAATTGAATTTCTCACATGCAGTACTTATAGTTTTAGGAATGTAATGGATATTAGTTTACTTTGGTATGCTCATATGCCTGTGGGGTAGTGACCCAAAAGTGCACATAGTGCCAATTAGCAAACATTTTCATACTTGCTCAAAATGGTTTGTACATTTATTAAAAGCTCTAATAAAAGACAGAATACATTTCAAATTATTATCTGTAAAAATCATGCCTAATTCCAGTTCTCCATCATCTCTTAAAAAAGGTTAAGCAAGAAACAAGTGTTCCTGAATTGTAAAGATTGTGCTCTGAAAGTAACATCACAAGCACCTAAATTGCTTTAGCTTTTATTTAAAATAAGTTTTTATTGTTTTCAGTGTCAACAGGTAAATGGGATACAGAACAAAATAGGGGAAGTAGCATGTTGTCATTTTAACAGTAATAAATCATAAGGCTTTTACATTCCATTCTGTTTTTTTAACAAAGAAAAAGAAAATGTATACAGGTCCAACCATCTATCATACCCTGTAGTATTTCAGTTAGGAGTTATTTCATTCAATGTAGGTTCACAAGTACATTCGACTATCTGTCTCCCCTCTCCAGGGGAAACTCTCCCTCCTATATGCAACTGGTGGGGTTCCCTTGAGTAGGGCTATACTTCCCCTGGCAAGGTTGGGTCTGCTTTGATCTCTGGTCATTGTTCAAGGTGTATGCCTTATAATGCCTCTATATTTAGCTTGTGTGACTCATGCAGGTTGGGATAGGGGGAACAACATGGGAGAGAAGGGTAAGTGGGGGGTCTGCCTAGTTCTGCAATTGTGTAGATTCTCTGTTATCCCGTCACTGATCTGTGTTAGTAGTGGCGTGGTTATGTATCTTCTCAAGGTCCTTAGGCCCTCTTGTTACTATCTTGGAGTCCCTAAGGTGTGTCCTTCCAATCTCGTATCCAGGGTGACCATGTGCCTAGGTATTTATCCCTTTTCCCTAATGTTGACCAGTGAATTTCTTCCAGCTCCCTCACTCTCTCCACTCTCTGCACCCACTGTTCTCTAGTAGGAATACTCATCTTTCAACAATATACCGGGATGAGAGCATTTGCTTCACCCAGCATTATGTTCAGTAGTAGTTGTTTGGGCTTCTCATTAGTGGAGCTAGGCCAACCTAGGAGGACTTGGGATAACGTGAGGCGGGCTTTCAAAGGGATGATCAGTGTAATATCTGTTAATACTTGCTGCCAAAAGGGGGTGATGTCATGGCACTGCCACCAAACGTGTTCCATATCTCCCTGTTCCCCATTGCATCTCCAACATTTATCACTCACTGCGGGCCAGTAAGTATGAAGCTGTACAGGGGTTCTATACCATCTGGTGACCCTCTTATAGAAGGCCTCCTTCCTGGAATTACTGACCGGAGCTTTGATCCCTGCCTCAAGTAGGTGCACCCAATCTTGATTGGACAAATAGATATGTAGACCTCTCATCCATTTTTGTTGGAATGAGACCTCTTGCTGTTCTACAGAGCTTGCTTGGAGTATACGGTAGAGTTTTGACAGGGTACGTCTGTGGTCCTGCCCTGGGCCACATATGAGCTCAAAGGGGGTTTTATTTCTAGTCTGCCAGAATGGCAGAACCGATTTGTGTAAAAAAGTTCTCAGTTGGACTACCCCCATGATACAGTTGCAAGAAAAAGTATGTGAATCCTTTGGAATGATATGGATTTCTGCACAAACTGGTCATAAAATGTGATCTGATCATCATCTTAGTCACAACAATAGACAATCACAGTCTGCTTAAACTAATAACACACAAAGAATGAAATGTTGCCATGTTTTTATTGAACACACCATGTAAACATTCACAGTGCAGGTGGAAAAAGAATGTGAACCCTTGGATTTAATAACTGGTTGAACCTCCTTTGGCAGCAATAACTTCAACCAAACGTTTCCTGTAGTTGCAGATCAGACGTGCACAACGGTCAGGAGTAATTCTTGACCATTCCTCTTTACAGAACTGTTTCAGTTCAGCAATATTCTTGGGATGTCTGGTGTGAATCGCTTTCTTGAGGTCATGCCACAGCATCTCAATCGGGTTGAGGTCAGGACTCTGACTGGGCCACTTCAGAAGGCGTATTTTCTTCTGTTTAAGCCATTCTGTTGTTGATTTACTTCTATGCTTTGGGTCATTGTCCTGTTGCAACACCCATCTTCTGTTGAGCTTCAGCTGGTAGACAGATGGCCTTAAGTTCTCCTGCAAAATGTCTTGATAAACTTGGGAATTCATTTTTCCTTGATGATAGCAATCCGTCCAGGCCCTGACGCAGCAAAGCAGCCCCAAACCATGATGCCCCCACCACCATACTTCACAGTTGGGATGAGGTTTTGATGTTGGTGTGCTGTGCCTTTTTTTCGCCACACATAGTGTTGTGTGTTTCTTCCAAACAACTCAACTTTGGTTTCATCTGTCCACAGAATATTTTGCCAGTACTGCTGTGGAACATCCAGGTGCTCTTGTGCAAACTGTAAATGTGCAGCAATGTTTTGTTTGGACAGCAGTGGCTTCCTCTGTGGTATCCTCCCATGAAATCCATTCTTGTTTAGTGTTTTACGTATTGTAGATTCGCTAACAGGGATGTTAGCATTTTTCAGGGACTTTTGTAAGTCTTTAGCTGACACTCTAGGATTCTTCTTCACCTCATTGAGCAGTCTGCGCTGTGCTCTTGCAGTCATCTTTACAGGATGGCCACTCCTAGGGAGAGTAGCAGCAGTGCTGAACTTTCTCCATTTATAGACAATTTGTCTTACCGTGGACTGATGAACAGCAAGGCTTTTGGAGATACTTTTATAACCCTTTCCAGCTTTATGCAAGTCAACAATTTTTAATCGTAGGTCTTCTGAGAGCTCTTTTGTGCGAGGCATCATTCACATCAGGCAATGCTTCTTGTGAAAAGCAAACCCAGAACTAGTGTGTATTTTTTTATAGGGCAGGGCAGATGTAACCAACACCTCCAATCTCATCTCATTTATTGGACTCCAGTTGGCTGACATCTCACTCCAATTAGCTCTTGGAGATGTCATTAGTCTAGGTGTTCACATACTTTTTCCACCTGCACTGTGAATGTTTACATGGTGTGTTGAATAAAAACATGGCAACATTTCATTCTTTGTGTGTTATTAGTTTAAGCAGACTGTGATTGTCTATTGTTGTGACTTAGATGTCCAGAAATCCATATCATTCCAAAGGGTTCACATACTTTTTATTGCAACTGTATCTAGCAGTGTCATACGCTTATTTGGTCTATATCCTTTAGTCTGGATGTGTCTCTTTCTGTCAGTACTTGGGTTATGTCTGGATTAGTTTCCCCCATCAGATGGGAGAGTATTGTGCTACCTTGTCCGTTCTGAAAGTCAGGGTTGTTTGCTAGGGGAAAGAGGGAAGAAATCCCTGGAGCCAGGTTCTATGTGTTTTGTGCCTTCTCCATATTCCTAATGTGTGCGATATGATAGGGAGAACACGAATATTGCATGTTTGCCATGGGAGCGATTGTAGAGGTGCCTTTGCATAACTCTGTTCGAGGGAGTACCAAGATTTTTTTCTTGTCTGTGGCCGTCCATTATTTTATTCTCGTAAGAAGAACTGCCACATAGTATCTGTACAGATGCGGAAGGCCATGACCCCCTCTGCCTATAGTAGAGGTCATGGTGGTATAGGCTAGACATGGAGTATTGTTGCCCCATATGTAGTATATAAATGCTGTTCGCATGTTGCTGAAAAATGTGGCAGGTAGGGGTTTGGGAGGGCCTGAAACTAATACAGCACCCAAGGGAGAATCATCATTTTCAGGATTGAGAGAAATGGGGTAAGTCCCCTTTTTTTAGGTCTCTTTTAATTTCCTCCATAAGAGAAGTGTAGTTTAGTACCCTTCCCCTTAAATTTATGGGGTTCTTGGAAGTGTGCTCACCATTTCGACGGTACCAAAACCCCTAAGATTTCACATTTGTCTATGTTGATTTTAATATTTGACAAGTATCTAAATTTCTCTGTTTCCATTTGAAAGTGCGCAATGGGTCAGTGATTGTGAGTATGATATCATCCGCAAAGGCAGAGACTTTAACCTTCCCCCCCGGGTAACTGCATCCCCGGATCTTGTTATTGTTTCGAAGTGCCATGAGAAAAGGTTCCATGGCAAGGACAAACAGGAGAGGGAAAAGGGGGCAGCCCTGGCGTGTGCCATTGCTAATTGTGAAGGGACTGGACTGTTGTCCATAAACACCAACACTGGCCGCAGACCCTCTATATAGGGCCTGGATCCGGTTTCGCAGCCGCGGCCCAAGCCCAAATGCCTCCATCGATAATGGGTAACAGCATTGGTATTTGGTTTTGGTTGTGGTCGTCCCATGGAGTATGCTCATGATTTTGGTGGTGTTGTCCCTGGTTTCACGGCCTGGCAAAAACCCACCTTGGTCAGGGTGGATCAGTCCAGGCAGGATGGGGTTGAGCCTATTGGCTATGAGTTTAGCTATCAGCTTAAGATTCAGTTTAATGAGGGATATTGGTCTGTAGCCTGGTTTGGGGAGGATAGTGATCGAGGCTCTCAGCATTGATGAGGGGAATGGGGAGTCAGGGGTCAGCCCATTAATAGTCTTAAGGAGGTGTGGTGCCAATGTAGACTGGAAGGTTTAATAGTAACGTATCATCAGGCCATCAGGTCCTGGGCTCTTGCCCTTGGGCATGGTTTTAATGGCTACAAAGAGTTCTTCCATAGAGAATGGCTCGTCTAATTGGCCAGCGGTTACACTAGGAACTGTGAGAGGAAGATTTGAGATAATGTATTCCTGTAGTTCTGAGGGGCTACAGGCCAGGGGTAGGAGAATGTAAAGGTTTTTTGGAGTTTCAACTTCCCACTCTTATTACCATGTGCATAGAAGGAACTTCTTGTCAGTTGGACTGCTCTGTGTGCTTTTATAGGGACCGACCGTGTAGATGTGATGGAGCCTAGGTAGTGGGTCTGGGATGATGCTTCTTAGTGCTAGTGGGTCGAGGTGGGAAATCTGCGTTGTGTGTCAGGGGGAGCAATGGTGAAGGGTACGGGGTAAGGCCGACTCTGTCTGCCATCCCGTGCCATACTTGCAGGGTATTCCCCACGTATATGGGTGCCTTTTTCCACCTCCCTCTTGGTAACCATGGGGCAAGTGCTATGGGGATCACCAGTTCTGCCTCCACCACTGTTTTCCATTGTTTGTGGACATTTGGTTTCGACCATTCCAGTATTCTAAGGAGGTGGCATGCCACATAGTAGAGGTGGAAATCTGGCAGTGCCATGCCTCCTCGCTCTCTGGGTTGTGTGAATTGTGAAAATTTGAGCCTGGGCCTCATCCCTTTCCAAACGTATTCTCTCAAGTCCCTGTGTAGGGTTCTGAAATACGTCCAAGGGATTCGTATGGGTATTGCCTGCATCAGGTATAGCAACCGAGGTAAGAAGTTCATTTTTATGACCTGGACACTTCCAAACAAGGAGACCATTCCCCCACATCCCTCCTGAAGATGGTCAGCATCTGGGCAAAGTTGTCTTCAAAGAGGTCTGTGCCATTTCTGGTGAGCTAAATGCCCAGGTATCTGATTTTAGAGTCTGCCCATTGGAACGTGAAACTCTGACAAAGTGGTGGTTCCCCGTGTCGGGGTACTGATATGTTAAGGATATACGACTTAGCAAAGTTTATTTTCATATTGGATATCTCTCCATATTCCCTAAAGGCTTTAATTATGTTCGGGAGTGAAATTTCGGGGTTTGAGACAAAAAAGAGAAGGTCGACGGCGTATGCCGCAACCTTGTGTTGTGTGTTGCCTTTTTCTGTCCCTGTGATGTCCTAGTTGTGTCTTATTGCTTGTAAAAATGGCTCTAGAGCTACAACGAAAAGAATTGGCGACAGGGGGCATCCCTGGCGGGTGCCGTTGTGTATTGTGAAGTCTTTTGTGAGTGCTCCGTTTACGATTATTTGAGCTCTGGGTTGTCTATACAAAGCCTCTATCCAGCACCGCATGGATGTGCGTTCTCTTTTAAGTCTTGATCCCCATTTAATCAGGATTCCTCTAATGACTCCCTTATGTGCCTCCCATACCCAAGGGACTGTAGTGTCAGGTTTAGTATTCTCTTCGAAGTACATATTCAATGTTGTGTGGAGATCTTCCACTACTTGAGGGTCATCTAGGAGAGTCTCATTCAGGCGCCAGTTGGTATTGTGTCTAGCTTCACCTTGTGTGTTTTAGTCAGGAATATAGGGGCGTGGTCAGTCCAGGTGATATTACCCATGGATGCTTCATTTACCAAATTAAGGTGTCTATGGTCTAGGAGGAACATACCTATTCTGAAGTAACTGCCCGCTGCAGCGGAGTAGAATGTGTAATCCCTGTCCTGTGGGTGTAGCAGTCTCCATCAGTTTTTTCAGTTGTTGTGAGTGTAGTGAGTCGTGAAACAGTGATCTTTGATGGGATTTAGTGTCTTTGGCCTTGGATGAGCTGTCTACTGCATGATCAAGCACCATATTCCAATCAACCCCCACTATAAGAATCCCCTCTGCAAACCCTTCAAGTTTCCTCTTGCATGAGCGAGTAAAGGCCACTTGACCCGAATTCGAAGCATTTACATTCGCCGGGGTAATTAGCTGGTCATTTACCTTTCCCTTAACAAAAAAACATCCTCCCACCAGGATCTGTCTTGGTGTCAAGCTCTGTGAAGGCAATGCGTGATAACATCAGTATGGCTACTCCCCTTGACCTCCCCTTGTTGTAGTTGCTATAATATGTCTTGTAAATATATTTAGATCTGAGTCTAGGTTGAAAGTCTTCCTTATAATGGGTCTCTTGGATAAACATAATATTGGGTTTTTGCCTGTCTAATTCTTGTGTCAACATCCAACGCTTTTCTGGGGTATTGAGGCCTCTTACATTTAATGACAATAGGTTAACCTGGGCCATATCGGGTTCGGGATAGTTATCGCTGTATTGATGGCCCCATGTCTAACACCATGAGAAGTGGTGTGTGGCAGAGTGGTAATAAGGGAGCATAATACAAAGTTGCAGGCAGACGAAGAACAAAAACTATATACATGAGTATGATCTAAATTATTCATACTGACAGAGAGAATGGTGCCAGATCTGTAGGAGACGTGGTTGTACCCACAAGCAGTTGCGGGGCATCTGGGTGGAAGGAGACCTAATTATCATAAGGGGAACTGAATGATTGCTTCAGACACAATGGTAACACCACGGATCACGCCCACACCACAGACATGAGCGCGACCCGTACTGCGTGAACTGCACCCGGAGCCTAGGCCCCTGAAAACCTTACATTTATCAGATTAAAATATTATCAACAATTGCTTTTGCCATAGGGGCCCAGCATAAGCAAGTAAACAAACACAGAATAAGAACTCAATGGCATCACATATTAAAACAATTGGGGACCTGAGGGTACCCCATTTCATGAGTTAAATTAGCACAAAGGATATATGCTTCCACCCTCAAGAAAGTCCTCAGGCGACCTTGTCTCTAGGTGTGGAGGGGTGTTCAGTACCATGTGGGACTTGTCTTCTGCATTCTTCTGTGTTTTTTGCCACCCTGATCTTTGAGGTAGTTATTTGAGAGACTGTCCAAAAAGTCCGGTCCAATCCTCTATATCAGTAGGTGGAAGGTCCAAGGCCTGCAGGAAGTACCTCCATTGGGTCGCTGATAGAGTAGGTCTTGCCTTGCTGTGTCACCACCAGGGCGAAAGGGAAAGTCCAGCCGAATTTTATGTTTGTTCAGTAGGATTTGGGTGATAGGCTGGAGCGTTCTCCTGGCTAGAAGCGTTGCCGGAGAGAGGTCCTGGTAAATGTCCACTCTGTGGCCCTTATATTGCAATTTACTGGATTGACGGGCCCTCCGGTAGATCTCTTCCTTCAATGGGAAGTTATGAATATGACATATAAGGTCACGGGGTTTATCTTGCGGAAGGGTTCTAGGCCTGGCTGCTCTGTGGGCCCTGTCAAACTTAATGGCCATGTCCAGAGGCCTAGAGAGGATCTGGTTAAAGAGGGTTGTTAGTACCTAATGGGGTCCTCTGCGGTTCCTTCCGGGCTTTCCGGAATGCCCCTCACCCGCAGATTGTTCCGCCTTCCTCTGTTGTCTACATCCTCTAGCCTCCTTTGTAAGTATAAAATATCCTCCGTGTGTAGCTTCTGATTGGTGTGGCATTCAGACCATTGCTGTTCTGCTGCTTCGCCATCATCTTCCAGGGCCTGTACTCTGTCACCCAGGTGTTGAACGTCGGTGCTGACGGCTTGTAGTTTTTCACCAAAGCTGTCCTCCAATCTCTGAAACATAGCAGCAATGTCTGCCTTGGATGGGAGTTGTGTGATTAGTGCCCGGAGGTCAGTATGGAGCACTCCGAGGTCGACGGGTTTGTTGGTTGGCTGCCACGTGTAACTGAGGCGCCATTTTGCCGCTCTGCACCGACTCTGCTTGCTCAGAGAAACATCTCCGTAGAGATTATTTAGAAGAGGCAGGGTTGGTGGCAGGTGTTCCCGATGCATTGCACTGCTTTTTTGACGCCATTATCTCTGTTATTTCTGATGGGTTTTGTTGTTTACATTCAGTTACTGGCGGAGCTCAGCTTTCATGCAACCATCTGCGCTGGAGTCTAGGCCACGCCCCCTGCTTTAGCTTTTAGTTAACTTTGTGATTCCTAAATAATTGGAGCAAAGAGGGATTTTTTATCTAGAGAAATCCAAATATATCTTGAGGTGACAAAATTAAGTCATTGCATAAGTATTCAAAGGAAACCAAAGAGTTGTCCAGGTACAGACTATTAAAGAATAGTATACACTTGTCAGACCATGTATTTTTATTCATGTATGGAAAGCATGCCAAACTTGTGGACCACGGGCTGCATGTGGCCCACAATGATTATCTTTGTGGTCCACCTGCCCTGACACCGCTTTGTGTTGTGGCTGCAACTCCCCCTTCCCTCCTGCTCGCAGTGCCAGTGGAGCGTCTGGCCTGCTTGAGCAGAAAAGAGCAGGGTAGAACTGGAGGATGGCTCATCTTAAGGTAGGGGAAGAGAGGTTTGGGGTAGTGTGTTAGTGTGTTAAATTGGGGAGGGGTAGCATTGTATTAAATTGGGGGATGGGCAGTGTATTAATTTGGGGGAGGAAGGGAAGCAGTGTCTTAAATTGGGGGGAGGAGGGAGCAGCTTATGAGAGTGGTGAAAGGGAGGCAGTGTATTAGAGTAGTGGGATGGGACAGTGTGTTAAATTAGGTGAGGGGGCAGTGTGTTAGATTGGATGGAGGGCAGTGTATTCAATTGGGGGAGGGAGGGGAGCAGTGTATTACATTTGGGGAGGAAGGGCAGTGTATTCAATTAGAGTGGTGGGAGGGGGGCTGTGTATTAAATTGGGTGGCGGGGTAGTGTATTAGAGTGAAGGGAGGGAGGGCAGTGTATTCGATTGAGGAGTTGTGCATTAGATTGGGTGGAGGGACAGTGTATAAGAGTGGAGGGAAGGGGGGCAGTGTATCGGATTTGTGGGCAGTGTATTAGAATGGGGGGAGGGGCAGTGTATTAGATTGGGTCTGTATGGAGGCGCTGAACGCTCCCCGTGGAGATGCTGATTGGCTGTGCAGCGTTTTGCTACACATGCACAATAGCCTCCTAATGCTTTCCTATGGGAAACCTTGGATTGGCTGAGATCATCAAGTTTGATTAGCTCATAGCACAGGATGGTGTCTCTAGCTTCTGGGTCTAAGATTTACCATACATCAAATAACTGATGCCCATGCAATTATTTCCTAAAAGTCTTTCTTTGTTACCTCAGTGCTATGTTGCCCTGAATAGGGCTAGAGATCTGGATCAGACAGCATATTACAATTACCATAGACTTTATGGGTAGACTGAATAAGGGACACTTTATGCAAAATAGTAGTGAGTAATGGGAGCGAATTATATGTGGTCAGGTACACGTTCACAAAAGCTATTTCTTCTCAATTAAAAGTACCAGTTAAGTAATGCATTGCATTTGCCATGCCATTCGACATACGAATGCCTATAGTGAGTGTTCGGCAGTTTACTAATAGTGCAATTGGCAGCGTTCATGCATTTGATGGTTCGGGAGTTATTTCGGGAGTTTTAGGCATAAATTCAGGGAAATAGAACATTGTTCAATGCCATGTTGTGAGATCAATGTACGAAATTTGAAATGAATGGTTTTACTTCGTTAAATTGAGACTATTCAGTATTTAGGGATTAGGGAATTGATTTTTATGATTGCATTGCATTTGCAATGCCATTCGACATACGAATGCCTATAGTGAGTGTTCAGGAGTTTACTAATAGTGCTAATACATTTTAATGCGATTGATAGCGTTTTACTTTGTTCACTTGAGGCTATTCGGTATTTAGGGATTAGGGAACTGATTTTTATGTATTCAGTTCATTTGGTTTAATTAAATTGCGCCGAATGAACGAATGGGATTATCCGAAATGAAAAAAACTAATGAATTTCGTACGAAAACGAATGGAAGAATGGACAAATTTCTGTTCTGACTAAACAATTTTTTTTTCCGGATGAATACATTCTTCCGAAACGAAAATTTCTGAAGTGCCCAAGTCTACCAGTTATGATATTAAATCTACATCTTGTGTCATTTTTTAATGTATATTACAATGTTTCTTGTATGCAGACAATGTCTGCTTTTTGTTTTACTGCTTCTATCCATAATAATATATGTTTGTGGGGTGAACCTTTTAACATTTGTAGATAATGTGTTTTTTTGAAAGAAATTTACAAAGGCAATTCAACAGAAAATTAAAGTGGGAAATCCAAGCCAAATAAACCATGACGTGGGGGAAAATAGGCATTTGTATCATAGAATAGATATAGCTACCTAGTCGCATGCAACATAACCCTCCCCCGTCCCCCAGAGTCCCTTCATCTGGGGGTTTCCATTTAAAGAACATCACTGATCACTGTGCCCCCACAGTGGGGATCTCAGTTTAAAAAAAAAACATAAAGTGTGGCAGATTTCATATTGCTCTTTTGTATCATTGTCTACTTCCCCACCCCCTGGGTGGCTGTAGTGATCCCCAAGTCCCTATCCTCCTCTCCTTAATAAAAAAAAAAAGATATCCACAACCTCACCCAAATAAAATTAAGGGAAAGGGCAATAAAACTAAAACCAGTGAAAAAAAATATATACTTACCATTAGATGTCTGTTTTTTTTTCTTAAATGTTTCTTAACAGCTAAAAAAGGCCAGGTAAAAATCCATATTGTCCAATAGGAAATTTGAAAATAAAATTAGATTTCAAAACAATGAGAGTGCTCTAACTGATATTGCATAGTGTGAGAAAGGCTTATGCGAACTGAGTAAAAGAAATAAGATTGATTGGCTTGTGAACACTTATAAGGTGTTTTTCAACCTTGCAAGCTCATTCTGAGTCGAGCGCTTATGGGGCTCACATGGATTGTGTTGCGTTTTCATAATTTCTGTTCCAGTCTGTTTTTTTGGGTTTTTTTTCAAGTTGCAACGAGACAATATAGATTATTTGTCCTTTTTTGGAGTAAAATAAAAGAGGATTTAAATAAAAAGACATTTTATGTTATGTATGAGTTGTTTTTTTTCTTTTACAGGTATCTGTTTTATTTGTTTCCCTCATTATTATTAGGGTGAGGGGGGTAGATAGGTTTTTTTAATTGGTTGGTGTCGCTAGGGACTTGTGAACAAGGACTCCTCTGTTATCAATATTGGAGCTCCCAACTGCTGCACATGGGTGGGTGATGGAAGGACACTAGGCGATATCTGTTATCACCCACCACCCACTCGGTGGTAGGGTTAAGGGGGATACAAGGTCCTCCCTGGTTTATTAATTAAAGTCCCCATCTGCAGATTTTGGGGCCAGGAGTAAACAGGGTCACCTTGTTCATTTTTATTATTGTCCCCACAGTTGGTGACATGTGGGGCACACTATGTCCCTGTCACATTATTATATATTTAGAGCCCTGCAGCGGGGTAGAGGATGGACAATATGTCCCCACACTAATTAAATTAATACCTCCACTGTTGGGGCATGGTGGGTGCACAATAATCTGTCTACCCTCCTGTTCTTTAAATTGGCGCCAAGTCACTAGTCTTTTAATACAGTAAGAGACACTGTAGGAACAACTGTAATAAATGGAATGTTTTTTTTTTTTCATTTATTCATGTGCTGAGTATGTTTTTCTTTTTTCTTTATAAACCTATGACATTCTCTATTTATTTTCTGTTATGTCTTGATATGCTTTTTATATTTTCAAAATAATGATTGCTAAGAATAAAATACATGAACTTTTTCTGGAGAAAATATTTGTGTCTGGTTCATGTGCACAATATGTTTGTATGTCTGGTTCATGTACAGTATACAGTAGTTTATGTTTCTGGTTTATATAAGTGTGAGCGCAGTACACAATATATTTGCATTTCTTATTTACACTGATAAGCCACAACAGTAAAACTAATGGCAGGTGATGTGAATAACAATGATCATATCATTACAATGGCACTTGTCAAGAGGTGGGGTATATCAGGCAGCAAGTGAAAAATTAGTTCTTAAATTTCATGTGTTGGAAACAGGAAAAATAGGCAAGTGAAAAGATCTGAATGACTTTGACAAAGGCCAAATAGTGATGGCTAAACTACTGGGTCAGAACATTTCCAAAATGACAAGTCTTGCAGGTAGTTTCCAGGATGCAGTAGTTGGTACTTACCAAAAGTGGTGCAAGGCATGAGAACCGGTGAAGCAGCATCAGGGTTATGGGTGCCCTAGGCTCATTGTATGTATGTATGGGGAAGCCAAGGCTAGCCCATCTGTTTTAATCACACAGAAGAGCTACTGTAGATCAAATTGCTGAAAAACTTAATGCTGTCCATGACAGAAAGCAGTCAGAACACACAGTGCATCACAGTTTGCTTTATATGGGGCTGCATAGCTGCAGACCGGTCAGAGTGCAAATGATGACCTCTGCCCACCGCCTAAAGCACATTTAATGGGAAGGTGAGCGTCAGAACTGGACCATGGAGCAATGAAAGAAGGTTACATGGTCTGATGAATCACATATTCTTTTAGACTAGGTGGATGACCGAGTTCATGTACTTCATTTACCTGGGAAAGAGATGGTAACAGGATACACTATGGGAAGAAGGTGTCTCGTTTTCATCCGCTCATAAAAATGTGGTTAATGGCATTTACTGTCCACACAGGAAACGTTATGCAGAACAGCAACCAAATCCACAGAAGGGTTAATGCTGAGCAGCAATTATGCAAATGGAATCCTGGTAACTGCCTGTGGGGTCAAAGGCCGGTTACAGCCTATCAGATCTAGAGGAGGGGTATTTAGGCCCAGTTCTCATCCTGCTCAGTGCCTGTCATGGTTTCCCTAGTGGTTGTCTGAGAGAGCATTCCTGATTCAAGTTTCTTCTGGTTTTTGACTTTGGCTTTGATTTTGACTTCCCTGTAATCTGGTATCCCTGACTTCTGGCTTTCCCTTATCGTTGTTTCTCATTCTGTTTCCCCTGACCTCGGCAAGTATCCTGACTACTCTTTGGTACGTTAAGTCGGGCCATTCTAAGGCCTGGTAATACATTACCTATTAGTCATCTGTGTGACACAATTCTACGTGCTGGATCAACTAGTAATCCTGACAGAAGGCAGGCCAGCAGATGCAATGTTCTGCTGGGAAATCTTTGGTCCTCACATTCATGTAGGTGTCTCTTACCACCTACCTAGAGATTGTTGCAGACCATGTACACACTTTCAATAGTATTCCTTGATGGCAGTGGACTCTTTCGGCAGGGTAATGCACCCTGCCACACTGCAAAAATAGTTCAGGAATGGCTTGAGGAACATGAAAAAGAGTTCAATGTGTTGCCTTTGCGTCTAAATTCCCAAGATATCAGTCTGACTGAGCGTCTCTGGGATTTGCTGGAACAACAAATTTAACCCATCAAGTCCCCATTTGCTGGAACAACAAATTTAACCCATCAAGTCCCCACGTTGCAACTCACAGAATTTAAAAGATGCAGATATCACAGAACATATTCATAGGTCTTGTAGAGTCCATGCCTTGACACATCAGAGCTGTTTTGGCAGCATGGGGGGAACCTACATAATATTAGGCAAATGATTTTAATCTTGTGGCTGATCAGTGTATGTGTACCAGCTAGCTCAGGACTATCTTGCTAAATTTGGGAAAAAAAATTTGCCCTTCCCTCTGATTTTGCAGTATTTCTCTTTCTTTGTGCCAAAGTTTACAAAACATTACTAATCAGTAGAAAGCTTACAATTGAACCCTCACAGAAATATTTGCTTTGCCCTTAAATAATTGCAGTTTGGCAGTGATATAGACAGTTAAGTGTGCATTAGTTACTTATCGTTTGGTAAGAGCTTATGTCACAAACTTTCACATGGTACAATGCTTGGGGATTTGTAGCAGATACAGGAACTTCAAATATGAGTATTCATTTTATTATTTTTGTATATAGTTTGGGCTTTAACAATGTTAGGGCATAATGACCCATCCTAAATTTTGGTGTGAGCAGGATTACATCACTGAGGCCACATTTAGCCTCAGACTGATCACTTAGGTGAATGCAGTACTCAAAGTGAATGCTGCATACAGCCTTTTAAATCCTTTGAAATGACTATGGCTGGGCAGACTCTGACTTTCAGATTCAGTATTTATCTAGTTGCCATCAGTCTGAAGAAGAACCCAAGGGTCTGAACAGATCCTGACAGGGTCAACCTGCATGCCGCCTTCTGATTGTCATTAATGCTTGGTTTTGACTGCTGCCCAGCACGGATCACAGTGTGATCAGTAGGGAAAGCATGCTGGAGGTTCAGCATGACAGATGGTATATATCTGTAATAGACCACTTTCTTCTATTTTAGCTAGGAAATCCACCTGATAAAATCACTACTGATATTAGCAGAGGGAATTCCATTGGGTTGGGAAGGGTTAGGATTAATCATGTTATTGTGTTATACATGGTTACAGCTAGTGGTAAGACTAGGGTAGGTAAATGGTCAGAGTTAGTGTGAGCATAAGGTTAGGTGTGGGCTTGGTATAGGGTTAGTGTTAACTACCAAAAGTTAATTTAGATCTTAGACACATATGAGGCATTTAACAATCAGGACTGATTCATGAATCTGTTTTGAATTATTTTTCTTTAGTTGTACTGGATGTGTAAAAAATATTAAAAGCAAAAATGTGAATTTATTTTTTTTCCAAAACCCCTTCCCCCATTTTAAACATTTTATTTACATGTAATATTGAGTTAGTTATACATATAGGATATAAAAAAGCACTTTCTGTCCTTTAAAGAACAATTTATAATATGTATCTGAACAAATACATAGCTGAAATTTTAGGTTTTGGTTTGAAACAATTGCCTCTGTCCTTATCATTATAATCCATCAAAATAGTAGATAAACGTCTGCAGTGAAACTGTATCCTATTCTCATTTAGTAAACGAAACCCCAACTGCATTTTAAACATCAACTAGTCATTCCCATTAATTACACACATCAGTCAGATTTTACTCCTGAGGAAGAACATCCAGAACTTTGTTAACACATAACCAATCCTAGAAATGAGTGGATTAGCTGGAACATGTTTAAAAATGTTTTCAGTCCAAAATACTTATACTCTGAACAATACATGCAACACAGGGTTGCATAGAATGATATACATTGTTAATAGAATCAACAGTTCTTTCCAATTAATGTACTTTATCCGGTATTACATAATACATATAAAACATATACAAGTTAACTTACAATTTAAATGGTATGAAAAGGCTCTTTTAGCATTTTTAAGGGGGGGGGGAGGGGGGAGGTCTGGAGGTAGGGTTGCCACCTGGCTGGTATTTTAGGTAATGTAACTGTTTGGCCATTGCGGTTATTTTCAAATACCAGCAATACAAACACTGGTATTTTTTACTGGATGGACTCTGTCAACTTGGTGTTCTATATGAGACCTCAATTTCGTATTTTTGGATAAGCTATTCAAATGATAACAATTTTAGAATGCACTTCTTCTGTGATGCAGACAACTTGTCACTTGGCCCATTGAGTGAGCACTCAGGAGGGCAGGCTCCTCAGTCCAGTGTCCCCAAACTGTAGTACAACCTTCTATATTAAAAGATGAACACATTTTAAGTAGTTTTTGTTTTTTATTATTATACTTATTTAGGGATTTTCCCTTTCTAAATGCATTTTATTTTTCTCTTATGTTACTCCCTGTGAAGTCATACATATAAAATGTATTATGCAAATTAGCATGGCTAGTATGTTTCCATGAAAGGTGGTTGGAACCTAAGCTGTGGTGGGGAGGGTGGGGGGTAGGAATGTATATCCAAAAAGGGGCATTTATAAGCAAGATGAACATAAAGGCTTAGACAGTGTACACGATTCAAAACAGAAACAGCTAGCAAAAGCTCACAATTCCTATTATTTCCATTATATGCTTGATGGAAACTGCATTGAGTAGAGATACGAAACAAAAAAGGGATGGGAGAATGTTGGTGAAAATGGATTTTATTTTAAAAATGTGTCTAGAACGTCTATTCTGTTATCAGTTTGGCTATGTTTGCCTTAAATTTGAAACTCACTTTGAATTTCCATCTATTCTAATTTTAGTGAATATTCCTTTATGCATTTTTTTGTTTTTTGTACAGCAAATGTTATTGGATGTCTTAAATATTATCTTTCAATAGGATTTTTCTCAGTTCTTACTTCTACTATATATGTATCAGAATTAAATGATTAAAATAGAGTTCTGGAATGTCTTGATAAAAAAGTGCTTTATCTTTGTAAAACACAAATATATAAATTTTACTGCTTTTTGGGGCATACTTGTTGAATTATGGGGTTGATGGCTGAGTTGATTCCAATTTGTTTTAAATGTTCTATGTGGCCAAATAAAGCAGTATGTTTTAATGAGACAAGTGAGGTTTATACTTATGGTGTATGCAGGGCCGGCGCCACCTGTAAGGCGACCTAGGCAGCCGCCTAGGGCGCAACTTAGCAGGGGGCGCCGTATCCCTGCGCCCGGCGGCTCCTCATGCTGCACCGCCTGAGCGCTTTAGCAAGCCCCAGGCGGCGCGGCATTGCTGTGTGGAGGGCGGCCAGGTTTGTGACCGGCAGGAGGGAGGCGCAGAGCGCTCCCTCCTGCCGGTCTCTCAATGTAGCGTGGCCGGGCGGCGCGGAACGCGGGACAGGAACCTCTGTTTCCTGTACCCGGCCGCCGGCGGAATGACAGGAAGTGCTCACTGAGTGAGCACTTCCCTTCAGTCCGCCGGCGGCCGGGAACAGGAAACAGAGGTTCCTGTCCCGCGTTCCGCGCCGCCCGGCCACGCTACATAGGCAGGAGGGGGTAAGGACCATTAGGGGAGTGGGGAGGGAGTAAGGACCGTTAGGGGTGGGGGGAGACCATTAGGGGTGGGGGGAGGGGAGTAAGGACCATTAGGGTGGGGGGAGGGAGTAAGGACCATTAGGAGGGACTATGACCATTAGGGTGGGGGAGGGAGAAGGACCATTAGGGAGGGACCTGACCATTAGGTGGGGGAGTGAGAGTGAGTAAGGACCAGGGGTGGGGGGAGGAGTAAGACCATTAGGGGAGGGACTATGACCATTAGGGTGGGGAGGGAGCAAGGACCATTAGGAGTGGACTAAGGACCATTAGGGGTGGGGAGGATAGTGAGCAAGACCATTAGGGTGGGGGAGGCGACCATTAGGAGGGGGAGGGGAGGAGATGGACCCATTAGGGTGGGGAGGAGTAAGGACCACTAGGGGTGGGAGGGAGTAAGGACCATTAGGGTGGGGAGAGTAAGGACCATTAGGGGAGGGGGGAGTAAGGACCATTAGGGGTGGGGGGGAGCAAGGACCATTAGGGAGGGGGAGTAAGGACCATTAGGGGTGGGGAGAAGGACCATTAGGAGGGGGGAGTGGGAGGAGCAAGGACCATTAGGGAGGGGAGTGGGGAGGGAGGCGACCCATTGGGGAGGGGGAGGTGGAGGGAGCAAGGAATCATTAGGGTGGGGAGCAAGGACCATTAGGGAGGGGGGAGGAGGGAGTAAGGACCATGGGAGTGGGGGGGAGGTAAGGACCATTAGAGGAGGGGGAGGCGACCATTAGGGGAGGAGTAAGGACCATTAGGGGAGGGGGGGGGTAAGACCACAGGGAGGGGGAGGGAGGGAGTAAGGACCATTAGGGAGGGGGGGAGTAAGGACCATTAGGGAGGAGTGGGGAGGGAGTAAGGACCATTAGGGAGGGGGGGAGGGGAGGGAGGGCGACCATGGGGGCAGGGGGGGAGGCGACCATTAGAGGAGGGGGGAGTAAGGACCATTAGGGAGTGGGGAGGGAGGAAGGACCATTAGGGGAGGGGGGGGAGAAGGACCATTAGGGGGATGGGGAGTGGGGGGAGTAAGGACCGTGGGGGAGTAAGGACCACTAAGGGGGAGAAGGACCACCAAAGGGGGGTAAGGAGGGAGGACCACTAAGGAGAGGGGAGGAGGGTAAGGACCACTAAGGGGGGGGGAGATTACCACTAAGGGGTGGGGGGAGGAGGGGAAGGTCTACTAAGGGGTTTGGGAGAGGGAGGACCACTAAGGGAAGGGATGGAGGACCACTAAGGGAGAGAGGGGGGAGTGAGAAGACCACCAAGGGGGGACTGCAGAGGGACAGGGGGCCAAGGGAGAGCACTAAGGGACAGAAGGGGTAGAACACGGAGGGACAGGAGGGAAGGGGAAATCAATAATTGACAGGAGGGGAGAGCACTATGAAATTTTTTTTAAAAATAAAGAGCTGTTCCCCTCTCAGTCCCTATCCTACCCCACAAACCCTCTCTTTTACACTACACACAAACACAATGCATTCCCCCCCCCACACACACACAGAAACATACAATGCATTCCTACTCACACACAGACACACCCGAAACAGACCTTGAGCTGTGTAAGGGGCCCTAAAAAATGGAGCTGCTTCCTGTTCGTTAATTGTTGTGAGCACTGTTAAAAACAGTCTCCAGAGAGCCTCTTCTACACCAGACCTGTGGAGCCAGACTGAGCCCATCATCAGCCTCTTGTCCTCATCTGGTGGTAAGTAGGCAATCCAATATATTATTAGTGGCACTAATCTCACATTAAATGGATACTATAGTCACCAGAAGCACTACAGCATAATGTAGTGGTTCTGGTGTCTATAGCATAGCCTGTGCCTGTAGGCTTTTTAATGTTAACACACTGTCTTTTCAGATAAAAGACACTTTGTGAAGACTGGCGTTGGCCCATATGGGCGGGGCATTGTGATGTTACATGGTGGGCAGGACATGGGGGGGGGGGGGGCGGCAAATTTTTATTTGCCTAGGGCGGCAAAAATCCTTGCACCGGCCCTGGGTGTATGCTAGGATTATTGTTATGTTAATTATGAGTAATCATCTATCCAACTCTCTTATGTAGTAATCAAGCCTTGTGAGCTGACAAGGTTCTTCACAGACTATTTGAAAAACATAACTTAGTAAAAACCAAAATGCAGAAATCATTTATACAGAGATGGCACCTCAATAACCACACATTCCTTCCTTTAAGTCACATAATACATGGCAAAAAAAGATCGGCTTGCAAGGTTTAACAATTGTAGGTTTGGTTGGTACTTCAGCATTCATCAATGTAGTCCAGTTGATGAGGTAAAGCCATTCTTTTCACATCTATAAAAGAAAGAACAATAGTTCTAAATACTGAAAATGTGAAAATAAAATATATAAAGGGTACAGTGTGTGTAATTGTGTGTGTGTGTGTGTCTGTCTGTCTGTTTGTCTCTAGGTTTATACACCTTCCTAAGCTTTTCTTTTCATTCATTTTTATGGAATGTTAAAAAAAAAAAAAAAAAGCTATAAAATGTACATTGCCAAACTATGAGTACGGACTTTCTTTAAAAAAGAAATTATTCAATGTAGGGAGTGAACGTAAACCCTTCATTTAATCCATTAGGGGCCAATGTATTGAATTTGTAGATCCAGAAACACTCCCTTTTGAGGAGGGTACGATCCAAGTCACCTCCTCTGCGACCCAATTGTACCTTTTCGATACCTGCAAATTTAATCCCTCGTGTGTCACCATGATGATCATTTCGAATGTGTCTAGAAACTGGGGTATCTCTAAAGTTTCTGACAGAGTGTATGTGTTCCATGACACGTCTCTTAAAGGGGCGGATGGTTTTCCCCACATATCTCAGGCCACATGCACATGTCAGTAAGTATATGATACCTTTCGTATTACAATTAAAAAATTGTTTCATCTGACACACTGAATTGTCAGTTAAATCTGAAAAGACTTTTGAGTCTTTCATCATGTACTGACAGGCCACACACCTGCCACATTGGTAGGTGCCCTGTACGGACAGCCAATTTGTGGTGACACTTTTAGTGGACAAATGACTGGGAACCAAGACTTCTTTTAAGTTTCTGCCTCTACGTGCTGTGAGGGAAACAAATGGAGTTACTACTCCTTTGAGTTGGGGATCTTGAGAGATCAGAGGCCAAAACCTACCTAATATCCGTTTGGTTTGATCCCATCCAGAGTCAAACGTGGCTACACAACGAATAAGTTCTTGTTTTATTGGGGACTCTTTGTCTCTTAAGAGATCTCCTCTATCACTCAGTAAGGCCCTCTGATAAGCATTTTTGAGGCAGCGATTAGGGTAACCCCTCTCTTTAAACCTAGTTCTGAGGAGTTTTGCTTGATTGATAAATTCATCCATAGTTGAGCAATTCCTCCTCAGACGTAGGTATTGGCCAACTGGGATACCTTTTTTCAGGGTGATGGGATGATGACTCTCCCATCTCAGCATGGTATTTGTTGAGGTTGGCTTTCTATAGAGAGTGGTTTCAATCCCTAAATCTTTGGAGATATTAAAGGTGCAGTCTAAAAAATTAAGTGTAGAGCCTCCAATCTCCATTGTGAGTTTTAGGTTCAAGTCGTTAGTGTTCAATTTGTCCACAAAGGACATGAATGTGTCCCCCGTGCCCGTCCAGACAACGAGGACATCATCGATGTATCTCTTCCACAGGAAGATGTACTTCGTGAACTCAGCATTAATATCTGCAAACACCACATTCTCCTCCCACCACCCCAGGTGCAGGTTGGCATATGATGGGGCACAAGACGTACCCATGGCAATACCCTGCACCTGGTGGTAGAACTGTCCGTCAAAGAGGAAGAAGTTGTGGGTTAGCACAAACTTGAGCAATTCGATTACGAATCGCGTATGGCATTCATGTCTCGGACCTCTTGTGTCAAGGTAGCATTTGGTGTGTGCCAAGCCCAAAGTATGGGGAATTGACGAGTACAGAGCCTCTACGTCAAGACTACACAGCAGAGCGCCTCTTGGTATGTTAAGAGAGGCTAAGCACTTAAGTGTGTCCTTCGTGTCTCTCAGGTATGAGGGTAGTTTTTCAACGAGTGGTCTAATTACTTTGTCTATATATAGACTGGCCCTGCTTGTCAAATTATTTGATCCTGACACAATCGGTCTGGCTGTTAGACGAGTAGACTTTTTGTGTACCTTGGGAAGGCAGTAAAATGTAGACACAACCGGATTTTTAATGTAAATATACGAATGTTCATTCCTGCCCAAGATGCCTTTATCGAATGCTGAGTCCAGTATACCCTTAAGGTCTGACAGAAATTTAATGGAGGGATCAGAACTCAATGTGCGATAAGTTGTATCATCTTTGAGTATGTTGTTAGCAAGCTGGATATATTGTATTCTATTTAAAATAACAATATTTCCCCCTTTATCTGCCGGTTTGAATACAATGATGCCAAGGAAAAGTGCATCATTGTATTCACCCGTTTTTTTGTTTTTTTTGGTGCTATTACTGAAACTGTATTTTTCCATCTGTGTTATACAGTGTTTAAAGTCTGTTACAAAGAAAAGTGGATACTTACCAGAATCAGCAGGTGATGTTTTCACAGAAAGTAGTTTAACACTCTCCTTGTTTTGGGGTGACCTATTACAGTAAGAGAAAATGATAAAACTATATATATAAAACATGTGTGTATTAAGTATATACATTTAAGATTAGCTTCTAATCTTTTTTTTATTTATTTATTATTAAATAATCCCATGATCACAGGGGTTTACTCACAACAAATGTCTTGTGAACTGTAAATTTAAGGACAAATAGCCAAGCTGGAATAATAGGTGGAATTACAGATTGTCTCTAATACAGGTATTTGACCAAAAATATTATATTCCCTTACCAAATTTCCACAGTTCCAGTTTAGGGAATACACTTTAGTGCATTTTGTTTATTATTCATTGATTCATTTCCAAAAATTTAATCAGAGTAAACATCTTCAAACTACAAACAAGATGACTGCAGACCCATTTGATGCAATTATCCATATGTTTGCCAATTTATATGCAGGGAATTGCCTGCAGAAGAAAATAGGTGTTTGGAGAATTTTGAGAACACAATTCTTTAAGATGATAGGCAGTTGGAAAGACACATTTTTTTTTAAATATACTGTTGTTTCATATTTAACCTTAACAGACACTTCAAATGTATTAAGTATGGTAAATGAAAATCAAAACTGTGACAGCCAGCTCTTGCAAATGACAGGTGGCAGGTCACCAGATGTTATTGAGCTACAGTGGATCTACTATTTGCCCCTGCATTGCATGCTAAGAAACTTGATTGAGTGAAGAGTGGTCCCCAGGTTTTAGGTGATACATATGCGGTCTGTGGTGATTTGGCCTTGATTGTATCACTGGTAATATAGGTGGTAATTTAAAAGGTAAGAACTAATTAAATATCTGTAAAGTAACTAAAATAACACTATAGTACCAAAACAACTTTAGCTAAATTGAGCAGTTTTTATGTAAAGATCATACCCTGCAGTCTCACTGCTCAAATCACTGCCATTTAGGAGTTAAAGCACTTTTGTTTCTGTTTATGCAGGCTTAGCCACACCTCCTCTGGCTGTGGCTGACACAGCCTGCATGAAAAAAAAATGGTTTAATTTTCAATCAGATGTAACTTACTTTAAAGGTTTTTATATCCTGCTCTATAAATGTAATTTTAATTACACACAGAATGCCTTTTACAGGGTTTAGCAAGTTATAAACAGAATTTGCAATAAAGGAAGAGTAAACATTAGATGACTCTTTACATGTGTTTAGGAAGGCTGTGCAAGTCACATGCAGGGAGTTGTGACTAGGGCTGCATAAACAAAGTGATTTAACTTCTAAATTGCAGAGAATTGAGCAGTGAAACTGCAGTGGCATGATCTATACACCAAAACTGCTACATTAGGCTAAAGTTGTTTTGGTGACTATGGTGTCCCTTTAGGTGCTAATAGAATGCTGTATGGAAGGAATTAGTTGCACCTTTATAGCACAATGGAAGGTTTTGTGATCACATTCTCATATTTACATACAGCACTAAATGGCTAAATTCTTTTACAAATACAGACATATGAAAAGACCGTATTTTCATATTTGTGAGCACTATATTTATTTTAATTATAGAAAGAAATCGTTTAGTGAAAATTTTACAGATTTGTAAAACATTTATAAAATGAATGTATTGTTACAGGTTAATTGTGCATTTTCAATTGGGTACCTCAATGCATTGTGTTTGCAAAATTTTGGCAAAAAACGCATACTTACACTTTAGAGCCAGCATTCTCTGCAGCTGAAATAAAACAATTTGTCAAACAGTTATCACAGTCATTTTACAGCACAAATAAGCATCTAATAGACGTTATAAAGTGATTTAATTACAATTTTGCATAAATGGAAAAAGAAAGGAAGGTGGAATAAAATCCCACCTAATGGGGGCGCTAAGCACTAAAGAAAATGATAGTCTAATGGAGGACTATAAATGTAAAAGAGTAAATACTCTACGGAGACTTCGAAAAATAGATAGTATAAAAATACAATTTATTTTGCATCACAGTGCAATAAATATATAAAAAATATATAAAAAAAGGGAGTAAATAGTAAAGTGCATAAACATCCAATGTAAATATGGTAACAATATACAGTCCTATTATGAGACCTGGGAACAAAAACCCGGCATCAACCACTAAACAAAACAGTAATAGGTAAAAAGATGAACTGAACAGCCCTTGGTCGCGACTTCCAG